ACACGTTGTCAAACAACGTTCAGGTATTTGTCTAATATCTGATCGGCATGGTGGTATTTTAAGTTCTGTACGGCATTTGCTTGAATGGCAGGAACCCTATGCATACCACCGTTACTGTATGAGGCACCTGAAGGCCAATTTCTAGAAGAAATATCCCAACAAGGACTTGCATGATTAATGTGGATGGCTGCAACTGAGCACCAGCAGTGCAAATTCAGGAGGCGCATGGAAGCGATCTGGCAGTTAGACGAAAGAGCCTATAATTGGCTGATGGGACATGAGCTTCACAAGTGGACATTGCATGCTGATGGTGGCAAACGATGGGGAGCCCTGACTATAAATGTGTCGGAGTCATTCAACGGCTTATTGAAGTCTGCACGTGGATTGCCTGTCACTGCCATGGTTCGGATGACATTCAAACAGATGGCGAAGAGGTTTGTTGAAAGGCACAGAGCTTCATCGGAATTGATGGACAGAGGTGTTGCATTTATGCTAATACCGATGAGAATATTTGAGAAATACAGGAGGCGAGCACATTGGCATTCATATTTACAGTATGATCACGACCGGGGTGTTTTTGAAGTTCGCACCACTATCCGCGGACAACCGAGGGAATAATCTACAAACCGTGAATGAAGCCAGCAGGGTATGTTCATGTGGGAAATGGACCATCTACCACATGCCGTGCGCACATGCCATGAAGTGGTTTCAACAAGTTGGTTTAGGGGCAACCAACTATGTTGATAGGCAATACAGTGTTGTTGCATACGTAAACACATATAGTGGGCAGTTGTAGCCATTGGGTCCTGAGCATTATTGGCCGCCGGAACCATTTAAAATGTTGTGTAACAAGGACTATTTGTTCAAGCTGCAAGTGCAAAAGAGAACGCGTATATGGAACCAAATGGATGTTGGTGATACCGTTTATGCGCGTAAATGTGGCATATGCTCGCAAAGAGGACACGACTGTCGTAAATGTCCTTCCGCTGGTTTGGGTGGCGGTGGTAATCCAGCTCCTGGTGCAAGTTCGTCTAATGTACCCAACTATCAAGGATACACCTAGTGTTTTGTTTTCGTAATATTTTTTTTAATAAGTGTCTGTACTTGTTTATGTTGCAAGATTTATCAAATAAAATTATGTTCCACAGCCTTGTTACATCTTATTATCTAACATGACCTTTTGAATTAGGATGATGATATGATAGTTCCAACATTCAACTTATTGGTGTTAGTAAAGAAGACCAATATAAAGATTGAAATTTCATAACACTTCAAGAGAAAAAAGCACAACAACCATAACTAAAGCAACATACATGAAAATAAAGGATAATAAAAGGATAAATCAAGACAAACACATCCTAGTACCAAGTAAAAAACGGATTAGTACAAACATGATATTCGTCTCCCTTCGCGGTTAAATACTACGTTTTGTGTGAATATATATAGCGTGGTGCTGGCAGATCCAGCTAAAGGTTGTACGACGGCATGGTGCTGGGATGCTCGTCTGGCTGAGGAATGCCACCAGGCAGAACAGCTCCAACCTCCTCATCAGGTGCCTCAACACCCCCTTGTTGGGGACCACCTCCTCACCGTCCCCCACGACCCCGTGGGGTACCCCTGCCTCGTGGGGCAGCCCTGGCTCGTGCCCGTCCCCTCGGGCGTGCGACAGTACCCTGATGGTGGTGCTCTGGCGCCACATAATCAGGGTCGTGATCTAACCGCTCGCCCTGTCTGGCCCGCTGTAGTGTCTGGAGAGCCAGCTCTGTCACCTTCCGGCCATACTCAGCGACTGCAGGATCGCCGGCCTGCTGCTGCATCTGCAGTCCCAACTGGTAGAGTAAATGAAGACCAATAGCCTGCACAACATTTAAAATATTAATTACAGAACGCTATATCACAGTTATAAGTAAGAATACCAAATAACATACCAGTGTCTCGTGCCTCCCGGCGTATGGTCTGTACCGACCGCCAACTTGATGAACGGGGTTCCCGATAAAAAGTCGGGTAACGCGGCGGTACCAGGACATATAGAGCTGAATAGTCGTTGTCTGGATCTGTGAAGGTGGGGGCGGAATCAGGTCAGCTCGCTGGTTCCAAGTATGGACCTACGCCTCTAGCCATGCTACAAATGCGTCGTCCGCCCTCGAACGATCATCCCGCTGATAATGTGTCGCCTCCCATGTAGGCCCCCTCGGTATAGTCTGCGGACGGCCAAACTGGCGAAGTACCCGCTCTGTGGCATGATGCTCCACAATATCGAGGCACATCAGCGGGACGGAAGTGCTCCAAATCAATCGGCCGGCCGAGCAATAATCGGGCAGGCCACCTATCAAGTCGTCGATGTATGGCGTCCAGATGAACTATCAAATAAGAACATAAAAGTGAGTATGCGCAACACAAGTGAATTTATACCAAGTAAGTTTAGGTACACATTTACCTGTGCGCCCTCCAGCATATCCAACACATCCCTGACAAGGGGGAGATTATGATGAGCATCAAAGGCTCGGTAATTTCCAAGCCGGAGAACCCACCTCCTAGCTAAAGGGAGAAACAGAGGTGCTACATCCGGAGGTAATGGTGGTAGAGGTGGCTGCAACTGCAGGAACCGCTCCCAGGCCCAAACCTAACATACAAGGTTGACTTAAAGTTTAAGATAAATTTTGACTAGATAGAATTGGAAGTAATGAACAGAGTATTCGAATATGTTGTCACCTGTAGAAGTGGCAGAAAACCACATACGTCGCTCTGGGTGCCCATGCTCGCCCGACACATATGCTTGTATATGTAAGCGAGAACATCAGCACCCCAGCTGTACTGGGGTAAAGCATCTAGCACCTGAAGATGATGTAGAAATCGCAAACTCACTAGACTTCCCGAAGTGTTCGGGAACAAGACCCCCCCAAAAAGAAGGAGCAGCACCAACCTCGTGTACCGGTGAATATGTAGATCATCTGTCTCGTCGGTGATGTCAGGGTGCAATATCTCCAAATGCTGTCTAATAGCTGTCAAACCCATGAAACTGACCCCTGAATGTGCAGTCTCATCCTGTGGCCTGAAACCAGTGAGCTGCTGCAGCAAGTCCAAATACTGGGCACGCGACATATATCTCATACCCTGAGGCAGTGCAACGGCCAGTCCATCAGCAGGCAGCCCATATAAAACCTCAACATCCTGCAGCGTGATGGTGGCCTCGCCAATGAGCAGGTGGAAAGTGTGCGTCTCCGATCACCATCGCTCTATCAAGGCCGTGATCAGAGACCAGTCGAGCTGTAGCCGCCCAATCTCAAAAATCCTATAGAAGCCCATATCCCTCAGGCGCTGGACTACACGGGGATGGAATCTCTGTCCCTCATAAAGTCCCACAAGTCGTCCACTCTCCTGGCACCGAGAGTCTGGGCCAGTAGCTCTCCCTCCCATACGTAGGCGGACCTATGATCGCCCTGTAATACTAATAGCTCATCGGAGACAGGTCCAGGATGCACAGGCGGCACGTCCATGTCGTCTACTGTAAATTAAACAATATTAATTGTGTGTTTGTTTTGTAAATTAAATAATTAATTTTTAATTGGACAGAGTACATATCTGTGGGTTCCAGGCTTAATATTTGAGGCCCAGTAGCACCAAGCTATCCTGAATTCTTATGTGTGTCAATTCCAATATTTTTATAATTTTGTGTATTTGTTTTGTAAATTAAATAATTAATTTTTAATTGGACAGAGTATATATCTATGGGTTCCAGGCTCGATATTTTGAGGCCCAGTAGCCTCAAGCTATCCTGAATTCTTATGCGTGTCAATTTCAATATTTTTATAATTTTGTGTGTTTGTTTTGTAAATTAAATAATTAATTTTTAATTGGATAGAGTATATATCTATGGGTTCCAGGCTCGATATTTGAGGCCCAGTAGCACCAAGCTATCCTGAGTTCTTATGTGTGTCAATTTCAATATTTTTATTATTTGGTGTGTTTGTTTTGTAAATTAAATAATTAATTTTTAATTGGACAGAGTATATATCTATGGGTTTCAGGCTCGATATTTAAAGCCCAGTAGCACCAAGCTATCCTGAATTCTTATATGTGTCAATTTTAATATTTTTATAATTTTGTGTGTTTGTTTATTAATTTAAATAATTAATTTTTAATTGGACAGAGTATATATCTACGGGTTCCAGGCTCGATATTTGAGGCTCAATAGCACCAAGCTATCCTGATTTCGTATGTGTGTCAATTTTAATATTTTTATAATTTTGTGTTTTTTGTTTTATAAATTAAATAATTAATTTTTATAAATTATAATTGGACAGAGTTTGTGTTTGATCTATCAATATAGTAGATACTTAAACTGCAGGGATTCTACGCTAAAAGGCTCTACATTTTACTACGCTAAAAGGCTCTATATTTTACTACGCTAAAAGGGCACTAGTCTTTAAGAAAATAAATAATCTAAACTAAATAAAAACAACAAATATATTTTAATAACATAACATTTACGAAATTACATATAAAACAAAAAGAAATTTATGAACATTTTTATTAACAAAAAAAATGATTTCTCAACTTTTAAATATTTTTTTAAAATACTAATATCTTAATCCGGATAAAAATAACATACTGGTTTAATCGCAAACAAAACACAAAACAACATGGATACACATTCAAGACAACTGATATGCATTATTATACGAGTTTCGACATAAACTAAATCGGAATACCTCGATTTATATGTTTAGAATAGTCGATAAATTGAAATTTTGAGCCCGAAACGAGTAAACCACAACAATAGATAGAAAGCTTGGGTAGAAATGTAGAATGTGGAATCTACAATCTTATGTTTTTGTGTGACAGGTGAGGTACACTGGAATTTTTTTTGGAAAAAAAGAGGGAGAGGACCGCTGTTTTCTTTGTTTTAAAACTTTTTAATGAAGGGGTATATACATATTCGCAGAATAATACTGCGTTATATATTTATACTATCTGAAAATTAAAGTTGTGATTTATATTTGGCAGTATAATATTGCGTTATATATTTTCGGGTTTCTGTTAAATTATACTATCTGAAAATTAAAGTTGTGCTTTTTCTTGCTTAAAATTCATCTAGGAATTTGCCGGCACAGAATCTTCTTGATTTATCAAGCAACAAAAAGAGAGAGAGATGGGAATTTCATCAGAGATGAGAGAATCATGGGCAAAGCGAAGGGAATCTTTGTTGATTGCTTCTGCATTTGAGGAGGACAGAATTCGCAAGTCTAGGGAATGTACTCAAGGTTCCCAATTTCCCAATTTTTTTCTCATTTCTAGATATTTGGTGAAATAAATATTGAAATTTACCTTTGTTTTATGATTAGAGTTAATCAGAAAAGAACTTAAGCTTAATTTCTCATATTGATTTTCCAATTTTTGAGAGAAAAGTGTTGGTCCCTACTCTAGCTTAGGATTCTGCTGAGAGCTTAACTTAGCTTTTGTGGAGAAGTAGATGGAACCCCTTTTATAATATGGGGTTCTTTCTTCTGGGTCAACTCTAGTTTGGCTGTTAAGGAATATTAAATTAGAAAGAAGAAGAATATGATTAGAAATTCTCAATTTGTTTCGGTAATCATTAGGGCTTTCGGGGCTGTTCTAGCTCTTTCCTGCCTACGTTTTCTTTTGATAGGCTTTGATTGAAAGATCGCGCCAGTATGGATCCTTCTTTTACTCTTTTGTTTAGTCTTAGTTGCTATAGCTTATAAAAGAAGACTAAGAACAAGAAGAAAAAGGAGTGTGATTCATCCACGAAAAACGATACGAGAAATTTGTATCATATAAGGAACGAGGGCGACCCGTGTAAATACATCGGTTAATTGATCATATCTGTAATTGGTGTTCTAGTGCAGCCATAAGCTTCCCGTTGAAAACAGCTTTCTTGAGCAAGTTTTATATGTAGGAAAGAATCTTTTATAACCTCATTTAGCGAGAAGGTTTTGTCGTTTAGGTTTTAGATCGATATTAGAAAGCATTAATAATATTCAATTCACAAGCTTCCTATGATTGGATCATCATTTATCTTGTTTCATGGCATGGATGAACCTATTATTATGATCACTTGAACAAACTACGAAGCTGACTGTTCATGATTTCAGCACATTTTGCATCGTCATTTCTGGTGGAAGAGGTAGAAGATGCTTTTGTCAAGTAGGGTTGAATCAGCCTTGTTGTAACAGAAAATAGCATAAAACATGATATGCCGTTATTCCGGACTTTTTTGTGTTTTGCATACTTGGCATGTCCTGACCTAGAATACTTTTCTGATCTTAGGAGTATCCACATAAGGCCAAATTCATATAGGTTATTGCTGTAACAGAAAAAGAAAAAGGAAGACTGTGGGATATGGTTCCTCTGTAGTGTAAGGCCGAGTCCGAAGGAGTTTTTGGTAAACTACACAAGTTCATATGTTGGGATCATTGGGAATATGGCTTTAATTAAGGCTTTTTTAACTGCCTTGTGCTTCTTTGACTTTCTCCTTAGTGAACTGGTGAAATACATTGTTAGTTGATTCTCTTTGTAACTATTTCATGAATAAAATGCTTTGTGATGGCGATGATAGTATGCATTGAACAATGTTAAGTCCTAAGAGGGCATATAAGTAGTTGCCATTATATATTCTTCAAACACACAGTTTTTTGGTTTGCGTTTAAATTCAAATGAAATTTTCAAGCAATCAATATCCGACAAAGTATTGAAGTACTAATTACTAAACTCCGTCAGATATCCCATATCTGATTATTCTATTGAAGTATCATCTTCATCGCACATCCCAATCTGGTTATTCTAGTTCCTACGTCCTAATAACAAATGTTTTCTCAAATTATGCTTCTTTTTTCCTTTTCTTTGAGAAAATTTCATATGGAGTTGACAATAAACAGATATACCGTGCATTCTTTATCACTTCAAAATACCCCACTTAATCTGTTTTGTTTGAAGTTTTATACTACAAAGTTGCTTGTTAACCCCC